GCTTGATTCAAAAATCGTACGACTCATACTGCAAACGCTATCACTTGACTTAAAATATTTTTGCCCTTCCTTGCATTTAAAGGAGTGTCCTTTACCGTGCTGATGTTGCTACATGCCTTACTTCTTGCCTATCTCACACTGCGAATTTTTTCTAAGCTTTATACTAAACATTAAATCTGTTACGAAAAAAGAACTAAAGAAAATGAACACAAAAGGATCAGCTTTAAAAAAAGGACTCGTAACTGGAAAAGCCGAATGAAAAAAGAATGTTAACAACAAATACTATTTCACACCCAACCCAGTTCTGCGGAATTAGAATCAAGATTGAGTCTAAGCAAGCGAATGAGGCAATTGGAGTAAAGTGCCACGCAGATTTAAATTTTTCCCACTTGTGACGAATGCAGCTATCGTTTTTGTTTTTTTGCATGCTAGCATGCTAGTTAACTTTCGTGTCAGTCAGTTGTTTGCTCTCACGCTGGCCAATAGAATCTTCCTGCCTATTCGTGGCAGCCAGCTATAGGCTCTCACTTTGGCCAGTAGAAGTTGGCCGCAAACTACAGGAAAACCGCCGTAGAAGCATGAAAAAATCGATTATTTCCACTTTCGATGGGAGTTGAGAAATGCAAAGTCAGTCTTGGCCTTCCCTCTAACTTGGAGCATGTGCATGTAAATTTTGGTGCAAATCTGTCAAAAATTGCGGCCGTGCATTCGTTACACACACACACACACACACACACACACACACACACACACACACACACACCCTGCCTTTTATAGATAGAGATTTTATTCTGTTCAAAACAGCTTTTGATACTGGTTTATTGCATTAATTTCCTTTTTAATGCATTTTGTTAAATTAGTGAAATAAATCAAGTTTTTTTTTTCAACCAAGATCTGTCTTGTCCCGAAAGAAAAACACTGTAGAAATAATAGAGAAAACATAACATTGAAATGTTTAAGGATTTTTCTTCAAGCAATTTCACATTGAAATTAACTTTCAATTTTTTCTCTTGTGGATTGTAAACAAAAAACGAGGTGTATTTCATGAGTTTTAAGACATTTTCATCAGAGACATTTATGATTTCAAAGCAGTACAAAATTCTAAGCTTCTTCTATGTACAATCCTCTAACTTCAATGTATTTGCAGCGATCGATGTGTAGATCCAATGGATGTCATCCTAAATGAAGGTGGCCAGGAATCATTTCACAACTTCCTTCATATCCTTGACTCTACACCAACTGCCAATGAGGTAATGCTCCATCCTCTGTAACAAACAAAAGTCAAAGTGATCAAGTTCTAGACTGTAGGACGGGTGAAGGAAGGTTTTCCTGCCCATCTCTTTCAACAAACAAATTTATTGCATAGCGAGCTTAAAAATTGTCTTCACGTCCAGGTTGCATTCTACAAACGAGTTAGCTGCGAACAACGGTGTTTACAAGTGTCTGTTCAATTCGTGGTTACAGCTGTTTCTTTCGATCGGGAATAACAAATGTTGGTAGGACATTTTATTAGATGTATATTAATAATATACTAAAATTACAATAATCTCAGCTACTTCTGGAATGTACCTGGTTTCTTTGACTAATTGCAGAAACAAAGACAATGATGCATAAATCTCAAAGATATTCAATCATTTTTTAATAAGAGACGATCACTAGAACGTTTTACATTGATATCATGCTTCCTATAATAATTATATATATATATATATATATATATATATATATATATATATATATATATATATATATATTAATTCCATGGTTCTTCAGGACATAGATGTTCTTGGAAGTGCATATAAACCGTTTCTGGTAATCGCCAGGATTTCATAGGAAAGATAAAGGAGTAGTTTTCTGTTGACTTGCCATCCCCTGTTTCGCCTTGACTTGGTGCCACCCAAGATTAAAGGTCAGCATATACCCTGGTATTCAACGTATTATTGGGAGAGAACAGATGGCGTCATGCTTTTCGAAAGGGCAAAATTATCAAATTGACCCCAAATAACTAGTCCGTTATTTGATCTCGGCTCACAGCCTTCATTTCAAGTTCACTAATCGCCACGGCACTTGTGCGTCCAAAATAGTAAAATGAATACTTGCATTATTTACATTATTCAGACTCTTATCATCATCTTCATTGACCGCTCCGGCCTTCTTCAGGTGACTCGAATTTCGGATCGAACCCTTTAATTCGTCCACCGGGGTAGATTGTTCTAGTTCCACGTGCTATGCCTCTTCCTGATGTCTTAGTAATCTCCCTTTAACTCAAATCTCCAAGACGTTGGTTAGATCCACTGACTTGACCCAAAGAGTTGTGAGTTCAGTAACAGGCCACAGCAGTGGTGAACCAAGAACTTCCAATCACTCGAAAACCGGAGCGTACAATGACCGAAACGTTGTGAATATGGCAATGAAGATGAGGAGAACAGTCCGAATAATGTCAATAATGCAAGTAATCGTAATACCTCATCTCAGAGGTATAAACTGATATTGAATCTAATAAAGGTATAATTTATAATACAATGTTAAATATTCAATAACTAATCAATGTTTTTTCTTTCTTTTTCTTTTTTTATCTACAATTGTACTTCAAGATAAAAACTAACAAGATCAGATTGTCTTTCGTTTTTTACACGAAGTAGTTACTGGCGATATTACCTCGCACGTGCCTGGTAATGTAATCATGTCAGAGTTGCGTCTGTCTGCTTTCTATTTAAATTGAATTAATAATTGCTCTGATTTTGATATTGAGCTCTCTGGATTAGAACCTCCTTGGGATTATCCATTGGGATAAAAAAAAAAAAACTCATTTTCATTATATATATATATATATATATATATATATATATATATATATATATATATATATATATAGATAGATAGATAGATAGATAGATAAACCTGGTGAGCCAGACAAACCTACCCAGGTTTCACCTAAGCGGATCGTCAGGAAAGCTGGCTTTTTTTCGACAGACTTTCATGTTCCTGGCTCTTTCTTTTTTAAAACCTTTTTTTTCCTCGAGATTGATTTGATTATTGACAAATCAAAAATTGAAGGTTTTTCGAAACGAGAATAGTTACCTATATTTGTATTTATATATATATATACCCATAAGGATTACCAACTTGATATATATATATATATATATATATATATATATATATATATATATATATATATATATATATATAATAAGAGGAAATATCAAATATCATCGGCATATAACATATATTGACGCTTGGATTTATAATGTATTACTAATGCAGCAACCCAAATGTCCATGGTATGTAAAAATAAATATTATAGTTCATCGTATTTTCATATTCTTTGAGAGGTAATACTAGCAGGTAAATTCAATATGTTCGTATCACAGACATTACTCTGCAAAACAAAGTATTCTACTACGTAATTGAGAGGTAATACTAGCAGGTAAATTCAATATGTTCGTATCACAGACATTACTCTGCAAAACAAAGTATTCTACTACGTAATTGAGAGGTAATACTAGCAGGTAAATTCAATATGTTCGTATCACAGACATTACTCTGCAAAACAAAGTATTCTACTACGTAATTGAGAGGTAATACTAGCAGGTAAATTCAATATGTTCGTATCACAGACATTACTCTGCAAAACAAAGTATTCTACTACGTAATTGAGAGGTAATACTAGCAGGTAAATTCAATATGTTCGTATCACAGACATTACTCTGCAAAACAAAGTATTCTACTACGTAACATCGCTCTAACTACATCACTAGTAATCAACAAAGAGCATTAATTCTTATATTGACCACACTTGCACCACACTCTCCCTTGGGTTGAATTGTCCTTTATTAAAATTTAGTGTAATTCGCACACATAGAAACCAACATATCACAGTAACCAAAATAATGTTAACATAAGACATTTTTTTCATAGAAAAAATGCCACCTCTTAATCATGCCATCAAAATATTATATGTGGGACTCAAAGGAAAAAAAGATTCAAAACAATAAATAAACTTTGGTAAGTTAACACTGATTTAATGGCAAGTGTACAAAAAGATCGATCTATCTATCTATCTATCTATCTATCTATCTATCTCTCTCTCTCTCTCTCTATATATATATATATATATATATATATATATATATATATATATATATAAAGTGTAGGAGAACGAACAGTAAGATTACAGCGTTCAAAACATTAAATTAAAGACAGTGCTCAATACACAAATTAGAGGCGTAAATATTTATTCATCTTATGTAGTGTTGCATTACAATATGCATATATCCACTACAGAATTGTACATTTTTGTTTCCACGTGAAAAAATTTATGAAAATTTCCAAAGAACGGAAGTGGAGGATATCTGCCTCGATAACTTTATTTCTGAATAAAAACTTTTAGGAACACCGTGATTCCACATCTGATAGGAGGTCTTAAAAAGTTTTCTCCTTCTTGACATTGAAACAAATATGTGCAATTTTGTAGTGGATATGTGCATGTTCTAATGTAACATTGCATAAGTTGAATATATATATATATATATATATATATATATTATATATATATATATATACTTCATGCTTTTTGTACACATATTTGTTAGATTACCGAAAAATATCATATATGGCTGTATAAATGCGAAATTACACATACGCACACATAAATATACACAGAGGTGCGCACACACACACACACACATACACATATGTATATAGATGTGAATAAAAGCTTATGGGTTATGGAATATTATCATTTGATTTCTAAATCACATATTCACGGAAAATAAAGAAAAATAATGTTATTTGTTGGACAAAAAAAAAAAGAAGCGAAAATCAATGTTTTACCACCCAAGTGAGCAAGGTCTTTTACGTGAAAGGAAAACTGGCTGACCCAGGGCAGGTAGTTAGGAAATGGACATGAATCTATATTCAAAGGGCCGTTTCAAATTTTTTTTGTTTGTTTTTGTTTGTTTTTTTTTTTGTTTTTTTCACTAATGGGTCTCCTATGGTTAGAATGGAGATTCGGTGCCAAATGTGTCAACGGCAAAAATGGAGAAAGAAGCAAAAAATTTAAAATAACTCGGGAATAAATAAATGGAGAAAAACATAGAAGAAAATAAAAGAAGCAAAAAGAAACAGAAAAACAAATAAGCCTCTTCACCTGAAAGATTTTTGAAAAAAAAAGATCTTTTTCTCTTCCTTTTCAAATACGAAAACTATGGCATTTCTCACACAGACAAATCTGCGCAGAACTTTCCTTGCCGAAATATTAAACTAGTAATGGCATTCTGTGTAATAGGAGTTTATCAGTTTTATTTTGTAAATTTTGCGAGGTTTTCAACGTATTCTCAGCTTTCTTTAATCCGCCAACCTTCTTTCACAAATATTCGTGACAGACAGTTCAAATGAAACGATTCGTACAATTTAGAATCTCCAATCATGGCAGTCAAATAAGATTATCTGTACGGCTGTAATATTAAAAGCAAAAATAAATAAAATGAATATTCCTCCGAAAAATACCGTAATTCCCCATGTATAATACGCCTTCAACCATAATATACACACCTAAAATTGAACTGAAAGTTGGGGAAAATGCTTCTACTAATGTATAATACGCACCCCTTGTTTGATAATCAAACACTATAAATTGTACCTCTCCAATTTGATTACGGTCAGCATTTGCTACTGTTATTTTAAAAAAAATGATTATTAAACATAGAATAATGTTATTCAAATTTAGTTTTATGATAATTCTTATTTTTTTTTTACGTAAATTTTTTAAAGATTTTTTATAGCAGTACATAATACGCATCCCTGATTGTGCTTATTATTTTTTTCGGAAAAATGCGTATTATACATGAGGAATTACGATATTTATTTGAGAACCGTATTGTTTATATAATATATACCTTATTTTTTCTGACATGAAAACATAAGTTTATTTGATTGTGTTAGTAAAAGTCATTGTTTAATTATGTACAAATATTTAAGATATGTTATGGTCACGCGCATTAACATCGTAAAGAAAATCAGATTATTTTAAGATAACAAATTTCAAATGCATACTAATAAAATTTTATCTGGAAACATATAATGAATTATATAGAAACATTTTATAATAAATATTAATTAATTAATTAATGAAATATCTTATTCAGATTATCCCTCCTTTAGTTAACTAGTTATCACGTATGTTACGCCCTGCCTAATCTTTATGAATGTTTGATCGAATGGAAAGACGGGTGGTAAGGACGTATTCTGGCCGAGTGTTTAGGTTTAAAAAAACGCATGTCTTCTGGTATATTTATCCCACAGCAAAAATGGCGGACTCGATGTTTAAATTCCGGGTAATAAAACGATAAAGTTTCATAAAAACTATATGTATAAAAATAAAAAATGAATATGTATTAACAAAACAAAGGTATACATAGACAATAAAATATTGCTGCGTGTTACAAAATGAAAATAAATTCAGTCAGTTATGTGCCATGCGTGATTCATAACTGTCGAGGCAGATTTTTCCCGTAGTAGATTGCCATTTCTTTCTTTGGTAGGCCAGTTGCCATCAAAGGCTATAGAACCTGGTCTGTCCTGCTATTTACCCATAGCTGGGGGGCGAAGAAGATGATTCATACCTTTCCTAAGTGTTTTAGTGCATGCCTGCTTGCATGCATGTTCGCATGTGTGCGTTCCCCAGTGTGAAAACGTTTTCCTCGTTCAATATATATCTTAGCGTCACTGAATGAAACAGGTAAAAGAGAACGGCAGGGAAGGTCACTGCCTATTTTTAAGCTTAAGTGGCGTCCCCTAGCGGCGATTATTTTAGGAAAGTAAGTGGGGTAAATCCAAAGGAAAACGGACTATATATAAAAATGGACTCTCCCGTCGGTTCGACGTATGAGGATCTGCCAGCTTATTGATTCATTTATGAAAGTTTATGCGCTAATCTTAAGTGGCATTTAAGACCCGCTAGTGATTTACAAAGGAGGCCACATATGGAGCAAGTGTGAGGATTGTGAGATGAGATCACTGTTAGCTTGTTTGGCCTTTTAGATCTTGCTGTTGCGTCTTGAAGATGATTCACACAAGCAGACTGAAAATTGCTGAGTCCACTAAAGCACGTTGATCTCCATTCTACCCGCTCCAAATCTAAGCGCTCAAGGGTGTTGTGTGGTATATTAACTGCTGACAAGTTGCTTAGCCCTGATCTAACTGGCTGTACATTAGGAACTTGGGTATCTATATATACATATTATGAAATGGAAATAGTTCGACAATTATTTTAAGGTATTTTTATGTTTATACATTCTTTTTATAGATACAAATATTTAAGTAAATGCTCTGTTTATAATAAACAGTACTAACAACATTTACCGGCCTCAATGTCCGAGACATTTTCAGAGAAAATATTCGTCCTCCGACAAGAATCGAACCTGTATCCTATACGGAACCGTCATATAGCCTGGCATGCATTTCCTGATTTCGCCACAGAGGAGCCTTTCGGTTAGCAAGGTTGATTTTACTGTTTTTAAACTACAATTTTCCATGATTTTCCCATGTACATTCACATCTGCTCGATGCGTATTCAAATGTAAACAAATGACGTCACAGATTATGAAATGGACAAAGACCAACAATTATTTTGAGACATTTTTATGTTTATACATTTTTACATTTTTATGTTTATACATTCTATTTATAAACAGCATTAACAACATTTACCGACCTGAATGTCCGACAAATTTTCATAGAAAATATGCGTCCTCCGAAAGGATTGGAACCGTTATCCTATACGCAACCGTCATATAGCCTGACCTGTTTTACCGATTTCGCCACAGAGGAGCGTTTAGGTTAGCAAGGTCGATTTCACTCTTTTTACTAACAGAAACGCACCTTTGTGGTAAAAGAACGTCAGGCTATATGACGGTTCCATATAGGATGCAGGTTCGATTCCTGTCAGTGGAAGCATATTTTCTATGACAATTTCTCGGACATTCAGACCGGTAAATGTTGCTAATACAGTTTATTATAAACAGAGAATTTACTTAAATAGATATATCTATAAAAAAAGTATGTATAAACATAAAAATGTCTTTATATATATATATATATATATATATATATATATATATATATATATATATATATATATGTTGAAAAATTGAGATATAACTGTATATATATGCAAAACACCATATTAATAAAAGTCATTTACTTTGAGGAAGAGCCTCAAGGAAGGAAACGTGCAAAATGGTCTTCAGATTCACCAGTTCTAAACTTCATGGTAAATCCCGCCATGACACGTACATTGTAATCAACCACCCTCATTCTGTTGGTATTCCATTGATGAGATATAAATCCATCTCCTCCTTCGAACCGCCGCTTTGTGGAACTAACTCCCAAGAGGATGCTTCCCGATAACTAAAATCTTAATCTGTTTAAATTTACTCTAAACCATTATCTTCTCCTGACATACCAATGTATGTGCCTCTTTCAACTTACTCTGTAAACCTCAAAATCCCGTGGCTACGGGGCCTTGTATAGGGTGAAAATTATTGCAAAAATATTCATTTTATTAAATGTGTGTGTGTGTTTGTGGTCATGTGCGTGTTGTGCGAGTCTGGTCGTATGAGCACGAATGCTTGTGCGTGTGTGTGTTAAGGACAATTTCATTTTATCACTATTTCTTCCATTGATGTTCATCAAACGTTTATAAATGTCTGTATACAAACACACACAAACACTCAGATAGATAGATAGATAGATAGATAGATAGATAGATAGATAGATAGATAGATAGATAGATAATGACGAGACTAGCATAGATAGATAGATAGATAGATAATGATGAGGCTTGTATCGATACATAGGTAGATAATGACGAAACTGGCATAGATAGATAGATAGATAGATAGATAGATAGATAGATAGATAGATAGATAATGACGAGACTAGTATAAATGCATAGGTAGATAATGACGAGACTGGCATAGATAGATAGATAGATAGATAGATAGATAGATAGATAGATAGATAGATAGATAATGACGAGTAGTATAAATGCATAGGTAGATGAGGACGAGACTGGCATAGATAGATAGATAGATATAGATAGATAGATAGATAGATAGATAGATATGCAGGCAGGCAGTCAAGCAGAAATATATAACCTATACTTAGGCAGCAGGTATTCATTCGAACATATTTTATTCAAATACTCCGACAACGTCTGTCTGTTTAATTTTTTATTTGATTTTTTCGAGTTTTCGCGCCAGCACTCAAACATCCAGATACAATTATAAAGAAATCTGTTCAAAGTTCATGAACTATGGACAGTTTCTTACACGCAAACTGAAAAAAGGCAGTAAAACATTAAACAGACAGCTCTTGTCTGTTGATGTCAGTGAAACATGTTTGAATGCACACGCGCCCACGTACAGACATACGCGAAAACACATACACCCATATATATATATATATTCTGAAGAATTATATATATTTAGAAAAATTCCCACGAAAAGAGACATCTGTCTGGTTTTAAACACACATAGCTCTCTATCAAAGCCTATCCTAAAATTTGTATGAATGCCTGAAGCAAGAATAACCAATTGAATAACAAATGACGATTCCGATTAAAAAAACGACGCAGGAGAATTACACCGTGTGTCTATGTGTTAATGTATAATTGTAAGATAACAACTTGCAGAGGAATTTTACAAATCGTTACCAAGTCGAAGAATTCTAGTGAAGGTACAGTGTGAATATAAATAAAGCTTGTATAAATATAATTGTATATTAATTCAATGAAATTATTTCCATTAAATATTTTTCTACTATTTAGAACATTGTTTCTCGGACTTTTCGAGCAAGAGCATACCTCGGAGCAAATAAAAATATCACCGCATACTTAAATTTTTTAAAGGGTAAATATTTAAATATCATGAAATAAAACCAAGGATTCAAAACATCTGTCAGTTATGTGCCATGCGTGATACACGAGGCAGGCTTTTCCTCCGCAGTAGAATGCCATTTTTTCTGGTAGACCACTTGCTATCCAAGGCTATAGAATCCGGTATGTCCTGCTATATACCCATAGTATTCAAACTCGGCTCTCCGATTCCTCAATCTGATCTGCTATCCGTTAATTCGACCGTGATACACAGACACAAATATAAACTTTATTTAAATGTTACGATTTAATTATTTCAGCAGGTAATTTAATATGAAACCTGTGCCTGGTTTTTAATATAATGCAAGAATAGTGAAAATAATTATTTGAAAAAATGTATAATTATAATTCATTTGTTGAAATACTAACGCTGTACCATTAATATTTTACACACTCATATATGTATGCCGTGAAAATATTTTGCGGCACATTTTTGAATCACCGCGTTAGAAAATGGCTGACGTATCTATGGTGTCGGCATTTTAAGATGAGAATTTTTCATTATAGGATTTTTAATTTGGATAGGAGTTGGTCTTTTATACTCTCCAGGCATCTTCAGCTATGGCTTGTACTCGCTAAATTCTTCAGAATTTTAAGTCTAAAATTTTATTCAATTCTCGGATTACATTGTTCTCAATACGATTTCGATTCTTATAGATTATCTTGCATGGATTAATAATCTCCATCTTAATCCCCTTTCGGTCATTTCTTCCCCTGAACCTAGTCCTGTAGATAAGCAATATCCAGTAGCATGGCCTCTGATCGGGGAGATTTTGAGGAGCTTGTAACCACCTCTTTATTGCTGGTGTTCCCAGGTCAATCCTGACCCGGGGGAGTAGCACGTGTTAGGGTCCTAGTTGTGGGAAAATAAGTGACCCCGCGCGCGCGCAAAAATATAAATCAACATAGCAAAATGATTCTAAAAATTATTTATCACAACGTTTCGGCCGTTGTACGCTCCGACTTTCTTCAGGTGGTTGGAATGTAGAACTGAACCCTTTATTTCGCTCACTGGGGTAGACTGTTCTAGTTCCACGTGCCATGTCTAATGGATGCCAGTTATCAGTTATCTCCTGCTTAATTACCCTCTCCAAGTTCTCCATTGCCTTAACTCGGGTATTGAATATCCACTGTGCTATCTCTCCTTGGGGAATTAATTTCTGGGTATTATTAATCACAAATCAGAAGCACCAAACAAGATGTGACAGAAATATTTGATATTCTTGAAAAATCCAAAGATGATTCGGTAAATTTATTGTTCCTGCCTTGGCATCTCATCTTCAGTCATTGTCTCACCATCGTAATGTAGCTTTCCTTTGCCTCTTCTATAAATATTTTCACAATAACTATTCTGATGAACATTATTTACATTATTCCGAATACTGTCCTCATCTTTGTCGCCATATTCATTACAACGTTTCGGCCGTTGTACGCTCTGCGTTCTTCAGGTGGTTGGAATGTTGAACTGAAACCTTTATTTCGCTCACTGGGGTAAACTGTTCTAGTTCCACGTGCCATGTTTAATGGATGTCAGTTATCAGTTTTCTCCTGTTAATTTCCCTCTGAAAGTTCTCCACTGCCTTAACCGGTTATTGAACTCACACACTTTGCGTCCTGTCACAGGATCTAACCAACCCTTTTATCCACTGTGCCATTATACCCCATCTCAGATATATAGACAGACTCTAAAAATGTATAAAAATGCAAGCAAGACATATTCTGTAAAAAACATGACCAACAATATATTGCTGTAGTGTAATTAGCAGTAATACATTTTATGATGTACAAACTATATATCGAAAAAATACTTTCTTTTTACCAATGAAGCATCAAATTCTGTACAAAATATTTAGATTTTGGCTTTGAATAGACCATGAAAGTCTATAAACCGCTAAACAAAATCAGCCAACCAATAAACATGTATATGTACAAAAGCCGAGTATCATCTACCATGTATTCAATTGTGAAAGCGGAATAAAATATTTTAAAATCGGTATCACCCCAAGTAAGGCAGTAATGCCACTAAAACATAAAGGGTTACGGGGTGCGTAAGAATTAGGAACAGAAACAATAGTGATGAAAAGAAAGGGAAGAGAGTAAGCAGGAGAACAGTAGATAGAGATTGACACTGCATTTCAATTTTTGCGGATTTAAATCGGTTGAAAAACATGGAGCTGGATGGGAGTCCCACAAGCAAGAAGTGCGAGATAAGAAACTGTTAAAATAGAATTTACGGCTACATCTAGCCAGCTCAACTGTAAATTGATTAGATCTCGACACTAGGCACCATAGCGAATGACTCATCCGAACAATTACCATGGAAGTATTTATAGAAAAAAACATAGCAACCTTTATTATTTCAAAGATCCAACGAAAAGTAAACATATACATTTAATGACCCACAAAGAGTTGATATGCCGTTAAACAATCAATCCCATAAGTACGCACACAACAGGACTCGAACTTTGAACTCACAACTGCCAAGCATTCAATTTATTTGAACAGACACAGAGCTCGAGTAAACGCCATTTCATTGATTACTGTTTAATTGTCTGCCATTTCTCAAAATATACGAAGCTCCTATAGCGGTTTGAGTACCGCTTGAAAATATTTCCTCGAAAATGTTAGAATCTTAATAAGTTTATTAGTCATTCGGGAAGCGATATGTTTTAGAAATATACAAGAAATAAATTGTACAAATTTTTTTGTGAAAACGACAAAGCTTTTAAAACACGTTAATGACACAAATGAGAAACTGGAGAGCAGTGTTCGAATTACAATCAAGGTAGTTACATTTACTTTCATTCAAATAACCTAAGAAAAAGGTATGAATTCATCTCTTCTGTCGCCCAGGAAAACTGAAGGGTAGTCTGGAGCATAAAGCCTTTGCTGGTGACTAGTCTAGAAGGAAAACAGTTAATTGAGAGATTTGGGGTCGGTCAGGATATCTTGTCGCAGACCTATCACTGTTACTCCGGATGCAGTAGATGTGGTACCCCTACGATGCTAATGGGTTACGGGAGACGGGATCGTCAATACTTAGTAATGGTTACGAGATTGTCCAAAGAGAAACTAGTTTCAATAATTCCACAGAAAAAATCCATCCACTTACATAGTGGAATCTCCAGTTGTATTCTAATGTAAGGGGGGGGGGAAGTCTAACAGTTTAGTTTTCGAATTCAACTACCACACACGTGACTTCGTATAGTGGTGAAGGCTTGTGTAGAAATAACCACGCCTTACGGAATAACTGATATGGAAATGGAGCATTATACCACGAATTCTGCAAACGGCTTTTATTTCAGATTTCCCTCTCATAGACTAGTTGCCAATAACCAGAACGCTAGGTGCACATATACTCTCTCCCCCTCTCTCTCTCTCTCTCTCTCTCTCTCTCTCTCTCTCTCTCTCTCTCTCTCTCTCCTCTCTCTATATATATATATATATATATATATATATATATATATATATATATATATAATGAAATGGACAAAGTCCGACAATTATATATATATAAATATGTGGCGCAAATTAACAGATTAATAAATTACTATAGTTAATCATATAAAATCGATCGATTTGTAGGTCCATGGATCTTTAAAATTTTGTTAGCAAAGGAATTTCACCATTTTATATCATTAACTGTACTAATCTACTTTTTGTATGAATGATTCATTGGAATATCAATTGAACTGCACTACATATTTGATTTAAAAGAACTGATCCGACGTGCAAATTTTCTGGATAATAGCTGCGACATTACTCTATTTATTGAACAATTTAGTTCATGCCACATTGACTGATAAACTCGTACAACAAAAAGAATTCTCAAATTGACATATTAGTAAAAAAAAAGCAATTTCTTAAATTTTCAAAAAATTCAACTTTAGCGTAGCGACTGCACGCTCCAAAAGTTTGTATCCGTTATCAATAACACATTTAAAAAAAAATAAATATTTCGATTCGCATTATATTTTTTCGCTCGGATGCTACCTGAATTTTACTAAAAACAAAATAATTTCCATGCCTGAAGATGACTCAATGTACAGTTGAAAGTACCTGCGTATTAAAGAGAGATCTTAAACAGCTTATAATTTTTAATATCAAGGACCATAACATTCATCGAGTGATTTGTAAGTTAATGCACCTTTAAAATTTTATTAGCGAAGGGATTTCGCCATTTTATATCATTAACTTTACTAATCTACTTTTTGTATGAATGATTCATTGTAATATATATATATAT